TGCCAGTAGCAGCCCAAGATAGAGGAGTACACAGGCCCAGCATGAGGCAACCTTAACCCAGAAGGTAGCCCAGCTACCCTTGGTGAAGGTCTTTTCTAGTTCTGCTTCCTCATAGCTGTGAAACCAAAGTCTCTGGTTAGAGAATTATGTAGGATCTTAGATTTAGACCTATCCTACCTCCCCACCAAAGATGATGGCGGACCCATGTTTGTCTCCGGAGAACCCTTAGGACTGGCCTTAAATTGTTCTTCCTAAAATAGGTTTTCAGAAGTATATCCCAGGCCCACTTTCATCCTACCTGAACCAGTCGGTAAGGGTAACCATGACATAGAGTGATGCAAGGAAGAAGACAAAATGGAAGGCAGAATAGCTGTAGGAGAAATGCTGGGCTTGTACTGGAGGAGCTGGAGAGGTCTCTTGGTCAGCTGGCCTGGCAGCCCCACCCCTCTGCCCTGGAGAGAGGGAAGGGCTGCTGGGAGCAGTGCCACGAAAAAACACTTCTTCCCTCCTCCCCCAGTTTCTTTTGTGAAGGCGCTCCAGTACTCTTTGGCACTCTGTTGAAATCTACACTTTCTAATGGTCGTTCTTATGGACACTCACCTTCCTCTGGTTTCACTGTTTCAGGGCAGCAGAAACAGAGTGAAGCCTTCTGTAAAACAAAAGGCAGCATGTTTTGGAATAACTTTTAAGAAAGTTGAGGATATTAATACAGAAAACTCCCCTTTGAAAAGATAGTCTGGTATACAAAGTGGAGGCACATCTGGGTTCAGATTCTAGTTCCAGCATATATCTGGCTATGAAAACTTTGGTAAGATGTTTAACCTTTTGTGCCTCAATTTCTCCATTTGTAAAATGGAGCAAATACCTACCTCACAGGGTTGTTGTGAGGATTAAATTAAAAGAGATTATGAATGTAAAGTATCTAGCACAGTGCCTAGCACATTGTGGGTACTCAATAAAAGGTAATAGCAGCTAGAATCTGAGTATTCTGGGTAGAGGTTGGTAGGGTGTGTGTGTGTTTGTCTTTGTGTGTAAGGGGGGGAAGGGCATTGGGGATATTGAGCTCTCCATCCTCACCTGGAACTCATAGTTGTAAACCTTGATGATCCACAAGGGCCCAAACACCTCAGCCAGGTAGGAAGCCTCATTGCTGAGAAAGAAGAGACCGTTCTCAGGTCCAGTCAAATAGCAAGAAGGGTTGCTGGAGACCATGTATTGCTAGCTGGTCCATGTTGGTAATTCTTGGGAGGGTACTGTATCCCCAGAACCCGTTTACCATAAAGATTTATAAATCTTGTCATGTGAGGGCCCTAAGATCTTTGTACATATTTTTAATTCTTAAGTCATTCTCCCTGCCCCCTTCATCTCATACAGATCATCTGACAAGTGCTATTCTTAGAAACTGTTTCTGTTTATGGGGAACTTTCCTCACTCTTGTCTTGCTCTCAAGTTCAAATAAACCATGATCCCAGACAGTCTCCTGACCATCCTTCTCTGTCCTGGGTATCCTCCCTTCTCTCATACCTTTCCCCTTGATAACTTTTACGCACCAAGCGAAAAGTACACAAGTGTACATGATGCCAGTACTCAGCACTGCCAGAGACATATATGGTGTCTGCGATTCCATTTTACTCTGGCCAGGCAGGCACAGAGTGTGATTCTGTCCTTCAAAGATAACTGAGAAGGAGCAACATAAGAAGGGTGGTAAGAATAAAGAACTTTAGTATTTGGCAGAAACAAAAATTTGGTTTTAGAGAGTCCATGTCTGGTCCTTACCACTCTCTGGAGGACGGCTGGACAGTGCAGAGAAAGTCAGGTACATGATATAGCAGCTGATGATGGAGGCCTGTAGAAGGCCAGAACGGGGTTGCTCTGGGGAGAATGGAGATCATTGCTTTAATGTATAGGGTAGTCATTTCCACTCTTAACCACGTCTACACTATAACCCCAACTACACTATAATCCCACCCTTTGGAGGAAGCAGACAATTGACTAAGATTAGGGAGGCTAATGACTATTTCTATGCTAAAGGCCTTCCAGATTTGTAATGTCACAAGGCATGTACCCACTGAGGCGGATGCAGGGAGCGATGGAGAGAAAGGAGAGGAGGCCACAGAAACAAAGGTGCAGACTAAGCAGCATCTTGTTGAGCAGGCAGCCAGCTGGGTGTGTGTAGTGATGGAACAGGAGCACAGCTGCCACACCTGCCATGCTATAGAATCCCAGCGTGGCCAGCAGTACAGCTAGGAACCAGCGGCAGTCTTGGGCTGCACCTGTCTGCCTAAGGGTAGAATGTGGGCAGTGGCTTGGGGCTTCACTTCTTTTTACCTATTACTATTCCCCCTGTTCTGGAACACTGGTGTGATTACTCATCCCCCACAGCCCACAGAATCATCACATTTCTGAGCTTTTTGATAATGCTCAGTGGGAAGTTCTGGGGCCACTGACCCTTTGCCTAACCCTATTCCCTCTAGTAATGTCACACAACCTTCCCAAGAAGAACCTTTGGGGTTAGAGGTGCTCCTTACCAGTTTTTGTTCCAGGAATGGGCAAAGGCTGTGATAAGCACCAGCTGCAGCAGGATGAATGTGAAGCCTCCACAGATGCCAATGTAATGCCAGGCTACAAGTGGGGCACCAGTGGGAAAATATAGCTGAACATATCATTACTCCTGGTTTTCTTCCTACCCTCTCTTTTTCTTAGAAAATCTTTTAGGTTACTCCTGCTAATTAGGATATGAGATGGAAGGTACCTGGGAAGAGATGCTCATCAGGGATGCAGAAGGCAACAGCACAGAGACCTAGCAGGAACAGCAGTTTGAGGAACCAGAAGCTGGTTAGGAGACAAAACAAGACTCAAGAAAAGGCAAAGGAGAGTGAACAGTGCCCACGGAGGAAGGCAAAGGAAAAACCAAAAGTATAGGAAAGCGGAGAGAAGAGACAACTAAGTATAGGAAAGGAGGAAGCAGTCCCACGTGAGACGGGCTAGAAACTGGCCCATTGCAGCCTATTCCAAATTCTAACTCTTATACCTAAATAATGTCTGGACAGTGTTTCACAGTTGACAAAGGGTTTGCATATAATAACCTCATTGTTATCTCCATTTTAGAAACTAGAAACTTGAGTGTAAGTATTTGGCTCATGGTCACACAGTAAGTATGGCAGAAGTAGAGACTTAAACCTGTTTTTGGACTTTACACTGTTACTTCATCTTGAAATTTCCTTTACTTAGCGTACGTCTACTTCCCTCCCCATCCTTATCCCACCCAAAGTCTATATACACACACACCTATTATGTAGTTGTGCCCGCAGGCTGGTAGGGGAGTGGAGGTGGACTAGCAGCACAGCCTGCAGCAGATGGAAGGTGGCAGTTCCTGCACATACTCGGTACACAGCCCCAGGACCACTGAGCATTGGGCAGTGAGAGTAGCCGAACAGATGGGCACACAACCCTGAGGGCATCTGGATCTGGAGGGAGAGTGCATGTGAGAAATGTCAGGGACAGTCATCATGTACAGAGAAATACTACTTCTCATGGGTATTATCCATTCACTTGTCGCCTACCCCCAATATGAATCTTTTGTCCATTGAGGTTTTCTCTTTTTTTCTTCTTTCTCATGTTGCAACCTGATCCCTCTCACTTACCCTGTATGCCTTCCCCCAGACCCTTTCCACCACTGTTCTTGACAACAGAAGGCAGCAGACTGCTGAGGCCCCCACATGAAGGAGGATGTAGAACAGGCGGCTACAAGTAGACTTTGTGACAAGGGGCCATCTAGAATGGCAGCAGCAGGTACAGACAGCAGACCCACAGCAGGACACCTGGGGGGTAGAGCAGATGTAGGACAGCAAGGTAGAGATTTGCTAAGGAAAGACATGCATTAGGTTACATGTATGCATTAGATTAAACCAAGAAGCTGAATTCCCAAATTTCCCTTTCCCTTTTCTTCTTTCCTTTTACTCAGGAATTCTCAGAATCTGGTTCCAAGCTATTTAGGATTGCCTTCCACTGACATCAAGTAGAGCTTTCATCATAAGTACTGATGCAGGCCTGAGTAGACCTTCCTAAAAGCCTAAGTCACACCTGGCCGCTCACCTTTCTGTAAACCTACAGATCTGGTACTGGGAGGTGGAAGGATAGGTAGTAGTCTCCAGCAAAGAGAAAGGTCTCAGAGGGCAAAAGAAGGCCTATCATCTTTATTGGCCCTGTGGGTTTTCCTCCCCAGCTTCAGCCACCATTCCCTACCGTTTTTTTTTTTCCAGACAGTTGTTGCTCTAGGGACCTTTCAAGCCTCTCTGACCAAGTATGCTCTCTATGCTCTCACCTGATAGAAGGGAGGATTCACCATGACACTGCTGAGTCCAGTGTGTTGTGCCGGGCGGAGGGAGGTGCTGGGGCCTGCGACTGCCTTTGCACCCGTCATCCTGGTCCCAGGGATTAAGCCCAGGTTCACCAGATGGAAGGTAGATGAGAAAGCAGTTTTGTTTGGTCTTCAGCCATGAAGTGCCACAGTGCTGGGGTGGTGATCCAGTCTAAGGCAGAATGGGGGGGACATCAGGAAAAGAACACCGACCTCCAGGATGTGGTAAATTCAAATGTTTCTGTGCAGATACTTTTTCTCCCCTGCCTTTGGGCCACTCAAGCTGTTCTCCCCAGATTAGGGAGCAGTTTGCAAATCTGGCCTCTGGTGGATTAGCATTTTTAATTGGTTTAGGATTAGACGGTACCCATCCTGGTTGAACAGAATTCCTTGGGCGGGGTGGTGGTGGTGTTGGGGCGGGTAGAATCTAGGTGAAGTATGTCAGTTGGGAAGGTCTGGAGTGCTGATGGGCTAGGTGTGGGAGACGGCCTTGGAGAAAACAATACTAGAACCCTAAAAGGAAGCCTGAGAGGCGACCTGATGTCCTGGCTGAAGCTTCTAGAAACCAAAACATTAATAAAGGTGTGGCCCGAGGCCAGCCCCGCCTCGTCCTCTCCGGGCGGAAGTTTCGGCGCAGCTACCGGAAGTGTTCGTGGGTGGGGCGGTGCCTGTGCGAGTGCACGGTGGGATCGATATGGCTACCGAGGGTGATGTGGAGCTGGAGTTAGAGACTGAGACCAGCGGCCCGGAGCGGCCTCCAGAGAAGCCACGGAAGCATGACAGCGGCGCGGCGGACCTTGAGCGAGTCACCGACTACGCAGAGGAGAAGGAGATCCAGAGTTCCAATCTGGAGACGGTAAGGTTGGCCGTGAGCGTGTCTGGGTGGGCTGAAAGCCGAGCGGCCTCTCAGGTTGTAACTGGAATCGTCGCTCCAAGACGGGGACTCCATCTCGTTGGCGGGATGAAGCGAAAGGGAAACCGCCACTAGAGCCCTCCTCTTGCAAAGGGAGCTTGATAAAGATTGGACTTAAGGTGGACAGAATTGAATTAAATCTAGGCCTTGGTTCTTGATACACTCGTCATCACGAATGGACCCCCTGACCCCCTTGTCATTGGCTTTTTAGATTGTTAGGAATTGTGGGTAGCAGAGCTGTGACTAGATCTTCCCCCCCATAGGCGATGTCCGTAATTGGAGACAGAAGATCCCGGGAGCAGAAAGCCAAACAGGAGCGGTAAGTTTTTTGTATGCGCAGCCAGCCCTACCAGTTCATCTCTTTCCCTCATACAAAAATTAAGGCATCTTTAAGCTTTATACCTCGTACCTTTCATCAGCTGTCACCTGTTCCTGCATATGTAAGGTTTACTTAGTCTCGTGTTGGTTGGACGGCCTCCTGACAGTCCCTACTGCCTCTCCTAGACTCGACAGGAGGGGAGGGGGTGTTAGGTGAGGAGGGAATGGGAGTCAATTTGTGTTTTCATTCAACACTGTTTGTCAGAAGTCATTTATTTGGAAGGCACAGCTGGGAATGATCCTTTCTGGGATGGTGAGGACTGGTGAGTTTAGAGAATGAGGACTAATAATGTACATGAACATTTACAGAGAGAAGGAACTGGCCAAAGTCACCATTAAGAAGGAAGATCTGGAGCTGATAGTGAGTAGTAATGCTTAACTAGTGTATGGGCAGACAAGTTTACATTGCTTAATTGGGGTTCTTTACCTAAACCAGTAGTGTCTGCAAGTCTTGGTGGCATTTTAATACTCCAGAAGAGGCTTGGGTAAGGTAACATCATTGATCCTTTTCCTACAGATGACAGAGATGGAGATCTCACGAGCAGCAGCAGAACGGAGCTTGAGGGAACACATGGGAAACGTGGTAGAGGCACTTATTGCCCTAACCAACTGATTTGTGCTTCCTCAGACCCACTCACTGGATTATTTTATTTCAATAAAGACTTATCCTTGTTTTTGCAATTATTCTTGGATCGAGTGCTATATATATCATACTGTATTTTACTGTGGCAAATTTACATGTTAGAATATAACTGAATTTAAGCAACTCCCCTCACACCCCAGGATTTAATGAAACTATATGAAGGATCAGTGTGGGAAAATACCTCATGACCTCATGCTCACATGTAGATGCCAGGTGGCCAGTCAGGCTCAATTCATCTAACTAGCTCTCAACAGTATTCAGATATATATGGAGTCTCAGCAAAATTGCTGAAGCCCATGGTATAGTCTCTGCAGTGGTTTATGAATAACTGAAAGGGGAGTACTTGCTAAGGAGCCACTATATATAGATGTAAACGACCAGTCTTGTTCATAAGCCACTGAATTAGAATTTAGTACTAAGGTGGAAACATGGCAAGTGCAATAGAAGATATCAAAGCTTAGATCTTATACACAATTAATCTATGAAAGACTTTGATTTATGAAGTTGATTTAGTATTTGAATCCTGAGACACCATTAACGCTGTACCTTACATTCCGTTTTCCATCCTGGAGTGAAGACCATTTCACTTGCTGAGCTTCCTCAACTGTAAAATGATACATACCTGATATAGTTTTAAAAGAATTTTTGAACGTTTATTTCTGAGAGCACGAGTGGGGGAGAGGCAGAAATAAAGGGAAACAGATTCTGAAGCAGGCTCCAGGGTTGAGTTGTGAGCAGAGCCCAACATGGGCCTCAAATCCACAAACTGTGAGATCAGGATCTGAGCTGAAGTCAGCCACTTAACTGAGCCACCTAGGCCCCCCTGACAGACTGTTGTAAGAACCTGAGTTGGTGAAGGTAAAAAGCTTGACCTAGCACCTGCCTCAGAGTGGACACTCAAATAGCTATAAACATGTTCTTTAAAGAATTTCAATGTCTTGGGGTGCCTAGGTGGCTCAGTCGGTTAAGCGGCTGACTCTTGATTTTTGTCTCAGGTCATGAGCTCATGATTTGTGAGATTAAGCCCCACGCTCACAGCAAAGAGCCTGTTTGGGATTCTTTCTCTCCCTCTCTTATGCCTCTCCCCTGCTCATGCGTGTGCACAGGGGCACACTCTCAAGATAACCTTTCAGTGGCTTAATCTCATTTTGGATCTAGGGTAACTCTTAGGTTGTATCCCTCTCTGGCCCACACAAGAGTGACGTATACTCATCTTTATGGGTTTATTACCTCATAGTAATTTATACTCATATTTTTATTTTAGGACATTTAGAGATTTATGAGTGTTTCTTCCAGTGGGGCAGTTAGAAGACTGTAAAAAGACCTTGGCCGCCTCACTTTTTTATGTAATCGAGAAATAGCCTTCCCACAAATTAAATGATTAAATGTCATTCCTTACAACTCCTAGGACTCCTAGTGCTCTGCCATGTGCAGGGTGGTTATGTTGTGAATATTAAGTGGAAAATCACTGAAATTAAGTGTAGCATGATATTATTATATTGCAACTGGGAAAGCACTGTGCTGTCCTTGATACAGAAGCTGGGCATGGAGAAGATACTGGTAAGTACTTGGTTTCCACGTTTCATGGGTCAACTTTTGTTCTAAATACAGTTATAGTTTAGAGAGCAAGGAGAACCATACATCTATCTCCTCATGGAGTAAATCTGGGTGCCACTTAGAATACAGCCTATCTAACATCGGAGTCTTTCTGAGAGCAAGGTGATAATCAAAATGTAAAACACTCTGCCCAACAATTCTCTGCTTTTATCTTAGTTAACAGGTAGATTCCTGTTAGCCTGCACATTTTATTTCCAGTATCATAAAAAACCTCTTCATGTATGATTTTTACTTCTTGATACACATACATAAATGGATCAAAAAATATGTTCACTTAGAAAAACTGACTCCAACCAAAAATGCAAAACCGCCATCCATGAGATTAGATTTCCTTAAAGTAGCATTGTCCACTTACATGCCCATGTTTCTAACCCAAACTAAGAGGCTGGAAAAAGAAACCTGCAATAGTCCCAAGTAATTTGGGAAGGAAGGCAGAGTGATGAAACCTAAGATTTCTCAGAAATGGTTTTAAGTGGGGAGCCTCTAATCCTACCTGGATAGTGCTTTCCTGTGGGTTTCTCAGCATGAGTCCAAACCTCATAAAGCACCTTCAAAGAGTGGGTTACCCAGTGTCACAAGTATGGCAGTAGGTCCAAAAGGTTGGATATAGGGGCCATGTAAATAATAGTAAAATCAAATCAAGGACCAGACGCTGAGACGTCCCCTTGTGTCCCACAGCTGGAAGAATAAATAGTTGAACTCTAAGTAGTTTTCCGCTTCTTGGCAGATGGCCGTTCAAATACATCTCGTACCCCAGCTGCTTTTTGTTTAAAGAACTTTGTGTTCTGGGCACTCTCTTGGCCCCATGCTGAGTCAAAAGAGGTGGTGTCCTGATCCACAAGGTGGGTGTATTTGGTGCGACCAGAGCGCCCGAAGTTCTTGACCTGAAGGAAGGATAGATGAGTTATACCACCAAACATCATGTCCCAGGCCTCAATATATTACTTCTCTCTCACTTGTTCTTAAGGTATGCCATTACCTGCATGACTTTGGGAAGAATGGTTTTGTTGAAATGATCCTCCAGAGTAGGTGCACTGAAATCTCTCTTGTAGACTTCTTCATCCTCATCCTGTAGAAAAGAATCTTATCAACCTCACGGTTCTTATTTCCCATATATTCAAATCACAAATTTATTAAGCCACAACAAGGGATACAAAGAAGGCACTAAACCTATTCTTCAAGAGCTTACATCTAGGTGAGATGTTACTTTTATCCTTTGTGTTGTCTTTCTTCCCAAAATGTAAACATTTCCTGAAAGTTGGCTATATTCTCTCTGAACTCAATATGTTCATTCAGTCATATGACTTCAACTCTGTAGAAGCCTCTCAAATCTCTGCTCCTGAATTTTCTACTGCCCATTGTATTATATCTTACACTTTGGATATTCTGATGGGACTTCAGACTCACATCTAAAGTGAAAATCATATCCTCTCCAAATCAGTCTCTAACTTCTTTCCTAAGTAGGAACATCTTCTTAATTACTCAGATTCAAAATTTGAGTAATCTTGGGGTGCCTGGGTGGTGGCTCAGTCAGTTGAGTGTCCGACTTTGGCTCAGGTCATGATCTCACAGTTCGTGGGTTTGAGCCCCATGTTGGGCTCTGTGCTGACAGCTGGCTCAGAGCCTGGAGCTTGCTTCAAATTCTGTATCTCCCCCTCTCTCTGACCCTCCCCTACTTACGCTCTCTCTCAGAAAGAAATAAAACATGAAAAAAATATTAAAAAAAAATAAAATTTGAGTAATCTTTGTGCACGAGTTGCCACAAATTTTTTTTTTTTTAATTTGAATCCAAGTTAGTTAACATATGATTTCAGGAGTAGATTTTAGTAATTCATCACTTATATATAACACCCAGTGGTCATCCCAGCAAATGTCCTCCTTAATGCCCATCACCCATTTTTTTAGAGAGAGAGCGAGCGAGCGCAAAAGAGTGGGGGGGGGGGACAGAGAGAGAGGGAGAGAGAATCTCAAGTAGGCTCCATGCTCAGCACTGAGCCCAATGTGGGACTCCGTCTCATGACCCTGAAATCAGCTGGACGCTCAACTGACTGAGTCACCCAGGTGTCCCACCACTCTTATAAGTTCCCATTATCTGGGTTATAGTGTATTCTTGGAATCAATCTTACACACTGTGAATAGATTTTTTCTAAAACACTCTCACACATTTGCCATACTCAAAAACTCTCAGTGTTTCTCTGTTTTGTTAAATAAACACAACTCTGTAGTAGTCAAGGCCAAATACCATATAGTTTTAATCTACCTCTCTGCAACTTCCCTTTACAGATGATACTTTTTGCCTTCATTCCTAGTCCCTTCACCTGGAATGTCTTCCTAATACTGAAGTCAGAAAGTTTACACATCTTAAATGTCACCTCCTTTATGTCATTCTTTTCCATCTCCTACAAAATAAAACATCTCCCTTTTCAGAAGTCCCACAGTATTTTCACTTGTCCTTTTGTTATAGTATAGCATATATTTGCCTTAGCCCCATTTTTAGGTTGTAAGCCATCTGAGGGCACGAATTACACATCCTCTAGCAGTGTTAAACAGTAGTGCTCTTGAGGTACCTGGCTGGCTCAGTTCTTATCTCAGGGTCATGAGTTCAAGCCCCATGTTGGACATGGAGCCTACCTCAAAACAAACAAAAAAAACCCAGTAGTGCCCTTTACGCAGTAAATGCTCAAAAGGTTATTTAACTATAAAAAATAACTATAGAGAATAGTTTCAAATCAACCTATTAGCACCGTACTGTCATGATACAAATTACAAACACATGTGCTGAAGGAATTAAAACAGCATCATCTTGGTTAAGGAAAGCTTTGTGGAAGAGTGCAGACCTTCAACCAAACACACTTTTGGAGTATTCTTTTCTCTTCAGCTATAGAAAGGATTTAAAGATAAGACAGTTTTTGTGAGATCTACTTTTCTCCTTGTTAGAGGTAGAGAGTCTCTCATTTAATCTCAGAAGACATTTTAACTTCACTCTCCTCTCATCCAGATGAGAAGAGTTTATTGAATATGTGCACCGAAAGACTTTCACGTAAACCTTTCCTTATATACTTAGTCAGCAATGCACTGCTTCTCTAAGAAGCTTGATTACGAAAGTTGCTGAAATGAGTAAGTAATGATACTTTATGACTTTGAAGCAGTACAGGAAGTAGTCCATAATCTCCACGAACTCCAATCTAGAAATTTATATGGGCGGGGTGCCTGGGTGGCTCAGTCAGTTATGTGTCTGACTCTTGATTTCAGCTCAGGTCATGATCTCATGGTCACTGAGTTTGGGCCCTGCACTGACAGTGTGGAGCCTCCTTGGGATTCTCTCTTTCCCTCTCTCTGCCCCTCCCATGCTTGCTTGCTCTCTCTCTCTCTCTCCCAAAAAATAAATAAAAAAATAAAACTTAAAAAAACCCAAAACACTATG